GAAGCCACTCCAAAGATCCAGCTACGATCGCAGCCCTGACCACGGTTCGTTCAGGATCCTGGTTACCCCAATGTTAAGCCGGTTATTTTTGGCCGTTGGAATTCCCAATGAGGTTTGGAAATTTTGGGTCTGAGTTAGGGGAAATTGCCTTTTTATCCATCAGTTGAGAGAAACAGTTTTCCCATATTCAAACATCATTTGGAGGGTTTTCTAAAATGGGAGTACCCCGAGTACCCCCAAATCATCCAAGTCATCAATGACCATTTTAAAATTTTAGTATTAAACCCTATTGTGGCTTGGGGATCCCCCATTGTAAGAAACCTACAAAAATGGAGGGATCCTCCATTTTTCGGTAGCCATTTGGATGGATAGCGCTGGGTTCAGCTCCTCCGATTTGTCGAGCCCGTCGAGGCAATTGTCCGCGCGCAAAAACCGGTCGGTTGTAGAACCACAGAGCCGAATTCTCGTCAGCGCCGTGTCTGGTGGTTGAGCTCACGGGAGCATCATGGAATCACGGTAACAAAGAAATGGGAGTAAAGCAGCATGCTACAGTAATGGGGATAATTAATTTGCCCAAATGAATGACAAAATTGGTTTTGACAGCCAAAACGTGGAACTTGGAGGATGTGAACCATCATGGAATGGGATATACTTCAGCCAATGCGCTCGTTGATTGGGTCAGGTTTCCCGGGTTCACTTGGTGCTGTCGCGATGTCAGGTGCTCCCAGTAATGGTGCCGTCCAAGTGGCGTTGGAGAGCTTTTTGAAGACACAGGAGAGGGGGCTCCAGTTGGGATCAACAGTTGAGCTATTAGGCTATGACAACATAATACAACATACCCATGGCTGGAGTTAGTTTGCAAGCCAGTTGAGCCATTAAAAATGCCCATCCGATGAAATAGGCACAAGGGCGGCAAGGACATCAAGGGCAAGGGTGGCAAATGGTGTCAAGGTCTTCTTCACACCCTTTCACCCGCGGCCTTTCTTTCCGCCCCACTGCGAAAAGCCGCTGCAAGCAAGTGTTCTTGACATTTGATGCAGTATCAGAGCAGGTGCACCTGCGACCTTAAGACCCCCAGTTTTTTCCATGCGGACACCTCTTCGGACCATTGAAACCGAGCATGAAGCCCAAACCATATCCCATGGAGCAAACTGCATGTAACCACATTAATTTGGTTCCAATTCCAATAATTGATTTCCCACCTTTTGCAGAGTCACGAAGATGGGAAAACAGCAGAACACCCCATAGCTACCAGGTCGTAGTCGAGACCTCTAATCCCCATGAGTCTTCTCCCTATTTCTGTTGATGAAATCCATTCAAGCCCTTAAAGCAATTTCCAAAACCCCACATGTTTATATCTGTTTGCTGATGAATTCCCCCTGAAATCCAGCCAGGAGGGCCAGCAGTCGTCCCTGTGCTTGGTGGGTGTGGAAGATCGTGTGCCTCCCACGGGGCCCTTGCGTTCGGCCTTCATTCATACCAGACTGCAGTGCCCTGGCCACGCAGCGGCAAAACCGCGTGGATGGTTTGCTGATCCCTTCAACCTAATAGGAAATACCTTCAGTCAACCAATCAACCAACCAATCAAGTAAGCAATCAAGCAATCAGCCAATCAATCAACCAACCAAGCAAGTAAGCAATCAACCAACCAACCAACCAATCAAGTAAGCAATCAACCAACCAACCAATCAATCAACCAACCAATCAAGTAAGCAATCAAGCAAGCAACCAATCAAAGCAACCAATCAACCAACCAATCAAGAAAGCAATCAAGCAATCAGCCAAGCAATCAAGCAAGCAATCAGTCAATCAATCAAGGGCCCAAAAAATACATAGATCCACAGCACAGAATCCGGGTATGTAAGGGGGTTATCTAATTGCAGGGGAAACATGACCAACATTTGTGGTTTTCAGGGTGCATTCCTCGGCGTATCTCCTGTATTTTTTGCTGCTTCAAATCCAGATGTTTGTGGGTGAAGTCACCCAGTTGCCCGGCAAAATCCACCATTTTTATCCATTGTTTGCTGGTCTGATTCCATGTTCAATAGTCCCAATCCTTAAGTTGGCCTTTTTTCCACATATCTATCCCCACTGCTCCATGTATCGCATATTTACCAACTTACCGCAAACATATAGCCCCATACATGGAGCATGTATGTATTGCCTTCTTGGTTTCCCAACTTTTGGGGATTAGTTACGAATGTTACAGTATTTTACCCTTGCTTTTCCTATAGCGAAAATTAGTGAAGCCCCAGGTACACCTTGACGCTGCTGCAACAGTCCCAGAAGGACAGCTCCATGTGGCCCATGGCGATCCAGGCCTCGAAAAAAGCGGTTGCGCAATGCGTTGCACACTATTTATGTTTCTCAATTTTGTTGTCATGTGTTTTTTTGGTAAATGTTTCAGGGACATGATGCAATTTTGGTAAATGTTTTGGGAAATGGTGTGAATATGATGGGACAATGGGAATATGATGAATATGGCTATGGTTTGGGTAATGTACTAAATGCATATCTGATATTTATCTGGTTGGTGGTTTCAAACAGCCGTGGGCTCTACACCTACCAGCAGGTGCGGCCGTGCCCTGCTGATCGTAGAGCGTTTCGTTCACCGTGTTGTGCCATGGATCGTCATGGATCTTGCTGAAGTTGACACTGGAGGTAGCTCTCTGATGTGGTCATGGTGGTCGTTGATCCTGTGCATGTGCGCCACTTGGTCCTCTGTCCGTGATGGGACTGGTCTGGTGCGTACTGGCCTCTTGGATGGAGCTCCTGAAGTGCTCACTCGGTTGGATGTTGTCCTGGTGCAGCAAGTCTCTATTCCGTTGCTGAAGGTGGATGATGGTGCTAAGGTGTTGGTTCACTCACTGCATACCTGGGAGGACTTCCTCAAACTGGTCGATGCTTGCTACGGGTTTGATGGTCCTGCACATGGGGCCCATGCCGTTGGTGTGCAAACCATGGTAGCTGTTGACTCTAGTGCCCGTATGGTGACCTTACACAAGGCTCCTGGAGGATGTGAGTATGTGATCGGTGATGCTGGCTGTCCCCAGGTGATCGCTGGAGTGTGGTCCACGTGTAATCATGCTGCGGTGAAGAGTGCGGGATTTTCATGTCAGCCGTTTTCCCAGTTGGGTGATCGGAAAGGAGGGGCAGACCCTTGTGCTATGTCCCTTCCTAACAACCTTAGAGCTGCACCGTCTCAGCGTGTTCATGGTTTGGTGCTTTCATGCGCTGTCCCTGCATGCAGAGATCCGTTCATCTCGCAACACCTTGATAGGTTTGTTGACTGGTCTGGAGTTGTGAAGGAGAACATCAACCTTGAGCTCTCTGCTATTGGTCCAGTGCAACCGTTGATGCAGAACCAAACACAGATTGACGGGCAGTTTCTGGAGTTCACCCACCGTCAGTCTCAACAAGTTTCGAATCCACAGGCCCTGATGCAGGCCCCGTCTCAACACTTTTACGGCCAAAGTAAGACCCAGTATCAGTGCATCCAGGCTCTGTTTGAGAATCAGCTTTCTCATATACGTGGCTTGTTGCGGAAGCGACTGAGAGATGATGGTGAATGTGGGGGTGGGCCTGAACTGCATGGTTCTCACAGTGGTATGATGATGATGGGGTCTTGTTGTGCCGTGTGGGTTCTTGCTGCTCTGATGCCCTTCTACCAGTTTTTGGGGTTTGTGTCAACTGCCGTTTTCGCCGGGGCCGGCCACTGTGTCAGGTCTTGGGTGGTTACGCTGTTGCTCCTTTTCAATGTTCGTTGGCTTGGAGAGACATCTTCTCCTGGTCCGGTTAAGTTCAGTTTCACTCCATTCAGACGGCAGTCCCGGGAACTTGACCGGCTGCCCGTCCCCTTGGCCGCGCTGCCACACTGACCTAAGAGTCACCACAGTTAAAGCACTGTCTTCTCACCACAAGACAGTGCGCCATACAAAGCGGTACAAAGTGGTGGTTTCAAACATGGCTGTTATTTTCCATTTCATATATGGGATATATATGGGATGTCATCCTTCCCATTGACTTTCACTCCATCATTTTTCAAGATGGTGATTGCACCACCAACCAGTCATGTGTGATTTTTTTGTTTTATGGAATTTTACGTTTCATTTTACGTTTCATTTACCCTCTGGTAATTTAACGTAGCTATTGAAAATGACCATTTATAGTGGATTTTCCCATTAAAAATTGTGATTTTCCATAGTTTTTTGTATGTTTACCAGAGGGTATACAATCCAGATGTCATGATTATCGCATTGGCTGTGTCACGGGCCTCGTGGCGGTTTCACTGTTTTTGATCCCTCTAGTTGAGTTCCAAGATCTTGTCAGATCCAAGTTCAAAAATACCATTTTTAATGGGAAAATCACCATTTTCAATGGGAAAATCCACTATAAATCACCATGTTCAATAGCTATGTAACAAATTACCAGAGGGTAGACCAAGCATTGATCCCCTATTCTGGAGGCATTCTGATATCACAATTGTACTGTAAATATTCACCGCAAAAAATGGAGGGGTGAACCCCGGGGTTCCCAGAGAGAGACAACTCTTTCCCAGAGTAACAAAAAGACAAGTACACCTGAGATGATATTTGAGCACATGTTTACCTCAAACATACGGTTTCCAGGTACCCATAATGTTTATCGCGTTTTTTTGTTGGGGTTGCTGTAGGGGAAGGGGCCCCGATCCGCAAGTTGACTTATAACCATGTCTATTTATGGTGGATCTATCTAGACAGTTCCAGAAAATATCAAAGCAGTGATGGGACATTAATGTGTATATATAAGTTAATGCAAGTATTTAGGTGACCGGTTGGGTTTATGGTACTTATAGCATCTTTCAGCTATAGTTTGATGGGGTTATAAACCAAAAAAGTTACTTCAATCTAACTATAATATACTTATGTTGGTTGATAAATTATCTAAGATTTCCATCACATACCAAATATAAGTAGACTATAGTAATACATGTATTTCTATGTGTTTTTAACCAACAAACATCTGAGCTTCACTTGTGCCATAGGCTTTGGAATCGCTGGAGAGCTGCCTTCCCGGCGCATTCCGCCGCCTGAAGCTGCCAGCGGAGCGGCGAAAGTGGACGTCGCCGGAGGCCTTGCAGAGGATTGTGGAGGCCAAGGCCGAGCAAAAGTTGGGGGATGTTCAAATAACCATTTAAGGATCCATATGGGGAATCTAGTTGGAATATATATATATATATACATAACTATATAACTTAACATATATGTACATAGGTTTTTTATTTATTCATTCATTTATTTATTTATGAATTTAGTTATTTATTTATAGAGAGAGAGAGAGGGGTGTCCTATAAATGGGGGTACCCCTAGTTCTCATCCATTTTTGATCGGAGTTTCCATGAAATAAAGGAATTCGTTTTGAGGTATAGAAGTGTCAACAACCATTTTGGGTGTGTCTGAAAATAGGGGAATACCCTTAAAATAGCTATTAGTTCATGGGGAAAATTAGGTTTTAGTCCATTGGCATTGGGAAACTAGCCTATTTTCAGACACACCCATTTGGAATATCATGGGAATATCATGAGGATATAGTGAGAATATGCTGAATAGAATTCAACATAGTTTTTGATTGATTTGGTGATTGGTGAACAATGCAAAAAAAGGGCTTCATCATCACTGGACTTGGGGAGGATCCGGAGAGAAAGTGCTTGTAAGCCTGTAACTTGTGTAGGAAATCACCATTTTCGTGGCTTATCCCAAGGTTATTATTGGCAAGTCCCCTATTTTTCACACGTGGCTTATTTGAGGGTTATGGGAGGGTGAACTAAGCATGATTATTATAATTTTTAAGTTGGATCCTCCAAGGGATTCACCATGAACCGGCAAATGGATGTCAAAAGTCCAAAGGATATGGAACACAGTATACAACTGGATCGAACATGAAAATTGCCTGTGACACATGGTTTTACAGTCATGAAATGGAAATGTGCTTTGGGCAAGGAAAACGTGCAGACTTTAACAATTCAGTTCATCTTAAGATGTGGGATTTATATGTGGATATGATTTCAATTTAAGATCATATTTGATCAATCAAAAATGGGATACCCTCTGGTAATTTAACATAGCTATGGAAAGATCCACCATTTTCTAGCTGGGAAAATCCACGAACTGTCTATGGCCATTTTCAATAGCTATGTTAGTCATAACCAGAGGGTAAACCTCCATTTTCCTAGGGTTTTCCTATGGTTTTCTGATTAAAACCTCCATTTTCCCAATTTTTTTGGTCAGTTGAGTGTCAACCAACAGAAGGGCATCCTTGTGGCCCAGCCTAGGCGGGCGACTGCAACGACTGCAACGACTCCGCGTACTCGTCCGACGCCTCGACGTCCACCACCCGTTGCTTGGTGCTAAAAATGGCTGTTGTTTTACGGGGGAAAATGGAGGTTTTAATCAGAAAACCATAGGAAAACCCTAGGAAAATGGAGGTTTACCCTCTGGTTATGTCAAAATAGCTTTTGAACATGGCCATAGACATAGTGGATTTACCCATTGATAGCATGGTGATTTTCCATAGTTATGTAAACGTTTACCAGAGGGTAGATGTTGTTTCAATACTGATGGTGGTGAATGGTGGTTGATGGTGAACGGTGATAAACATGGTCTGCAATTAAAGATTTTGTTTTCAATAAGGTAACACCCAAGACTCAACCTCTATTGGGGGAGGTATATATATATATTATACATATATTATATATTATATATATATTATTGATTCTTATCAGGTTTACCAGATTAGGGAAAATGGTTTGTTCAACGTTGATCAACCATCCAATTTGGGCGTACCTATGATAAACTCATCTAGTGGGGCTATTTTAGATAAAATCATGTAATTAGCCGCGCATCGTGGGGTTATTGTATGGGACAATGAGCCACCATTTTTATGGAGGTCGTTAACAGCAAAGGTCAACTGCTCAGGTGGTTTTAAGCCTAAAGAGAAAAGTCATGAGCGATCTTATCCCATTTGTTGGTATGACAATGAATAAACACAACATTTCAATCAATTTCACAGCCGCCAGCCAGCCGTCTTCGGGGATGAAGCTGAGTTGCTGGCAATCTCACACCTACCTCTGGCCACAAATGATGTTTAGTTTTTTGTGGTTTACTATACATGGCTACATACATGGCTACATACATCATCTCGGAATGGTTGATGGGCATTTGTTCCACACCTTTACTGCGTTGATGATCACCATCAAATAGATACACAGCCATGTTAAATTAAATTAAATACACATATACATAAAATAAGCCAACCCACTCATCACCACCACTGAACTATAGCTCCAGATGTGTAAAGAGACCCCTAAATTTGATAGTTGATCATCTTGTCCCAGAAAAATAGCCATTTTGGGTGGCTATACCCCCATTCTCACACCTGGAGGGTGAACTGCCCAGGTTCTGAAAGTTCCGAGGTGGACACTGGACACAGGCCGGGTCCCTTGTACGATCCTCCCCAAAACGGGCTTCCTGACGTGGGAAATGACGTGGAAAATCATGGTATCTGGGAAAATTCATGAACATCCCCATGTATATCAAGAAATTTCACAGGCTTATCCTTAATTTTCTTATATTATCCCAATGTTCCCCACAAATTTCATAGGATTGTCATTCAATTGTCCTATATTATCCCTGGTTGGTGGTTTGGAACATTTTTTATTTTCCCATATATTGGGAATGTCATCATCTCAACTGACGAACTCATATATTTTTCAGAGGGGTAGGTCAACCACCAACTAGATATTCATTAACCATCATGAAACCATCATCATAACTATTAATATTAACCATGTATTAACAGTATATTAACCATAGTTAAGTAACTAGATAATTCATGGGATCAAAGCATATTAAACCATACTAACCAGCCATATAGGATCCTCAATTGTTCTATATCCCCACGTGATTTTCTTTGGGCAACTCCATGGATTTCTGAAGCCACCGGATCCCGCGCAGGCTGCGTCGTAAGAAGCTCCGGGGCAGCCTGCTGGACCGCTTGGCGGAGTTGAGTCGACGGGAGAAGTTTGGAGAGGAAGAAACTTGGCGGATCCGGGTTCTGGCAACGAAATAGAGCTGGTTGGTGGTTTGGGACATAGCCGTGGGCTCTACACCTACCAGCAGGTGCGGCCGTGCCCTGCTGATCGTAGAGCGTTTCGTTCACCGTGTTGTGCCATGGATCATCATGGATCTTGCTGAAGTTGATGCTGGAGGTAGCTCTCTGATGTGGTCATGGTGGTCGTTGATCCTGTGCATGTGCGCCACTTGGTCCTCTGTCCGTGATGGGACTGGTCTGGTGCGTACTGGCCTCTTGGATGGAGCTCCTGAAGTGCTCACTCGGTTGGATGTTGTCCTGGTGCAGCAAGTCTCTATTCCGTTGCTGAAGGTGGATGATGGTGCTAAGGTGTTGGTTCACTCACTGCATACCTGGGAGGACTTCCTCAAACTGGTCGATGCTTGCTACGGGTTTGATGGTCCTGCACATGGGGCCTATGCCGTTGGTGTGCAAACAATGGTAGCTGTCGACTCTAGTGTCCGTATGGTGACCTTACACAAGGTTCATGGAGGATGTGAGTATGTGATCTGTGATGCTGGCTGTCCCCAGGTGATCGCTGGAGTGTGGTCCACGTGTAATCATGCTGCGGTGAAGAGTGCGGGATTTTCATGTCAGCCGTTTTCCCAGTTGGGTGATCGGAAAGGAGGGGCAGCCGGCAGGACCCTTGTGTCTTATGTCACTCCTCAAACAACCTTCAGAGCTGGCACGTCTAGAGTTGTTCACGGTCTTGGTGCTTTCATGCGCTGTCCCTGCATGCAGAGATCTGTTCATCTCGCGACACCTTGATAGGTTTGTTGACTGGTCTGGAGTTGTGAAGGAGAACATCAACCTTGAGCTCTCTGCTATTGGTCAAGTGCAACCGTTGATGCAGAACCATACACAGATTGACGGGCAGTTTCTGGAGTTCACCCACCGTCAGTCTCAACAAGTTTCGAATCTACAGGCCCTGATGCAGGCCCCGCCTCAACACTTTTACGGCCAAAGTAAGACCCAGTATCAGTGCATCCAGGCTCTGTTTGAGAATCAGCTTTCTCATATACGTGGCTTGTTGCGGAAGCGACTGAGAGATGATGGTGAATGTGGGGGTGGGCCTGAACTGCATGGTTCTCACAGTGGTATGATGATGATGGGGTCT